TAATGGGTCTTTTATCTGTCCTTTTGTATGTGTCCATGTTCCTGTGTATGCCTATACACATGCAGGCATATGTATGGGGGTCAAAGACTGATGTTGGATTTTGCTCACCTGCTCTTACTGTTTTGAGACAGAGTCTTTCATAGAACTTTGGGGTTGCTAATTGGCTGGACTGGCTAGAAAGCCCTAGGGAATCCTCCTGTCTCCACCTTCTTAGTGCTGAGATTATAGGCATCCCTCACATTTTTGCATAGTTGGTGGGGAATTGAACTCGGGTCCTCATGGTTTAACAGTAAACACTTTACTCGCTGAGCCATATCCCCAATTCTCATTTGGTTTTTTATTCATTTGCCCATTTTTGCGTGTATTTATCTTATTGTGTCTCTGTGTACATGTACACATTTTTGTGTGTGAACCATAGTACCCGAGTACCTGTGGAGGTCAGAGAACAACTTGTAGTAGTTGGTTCTTTCTTTCCACCATCTGTGATAAGAGGGTTGAACTCAGATTGTCAAGCTTGGTGGCAAATGTATTTACCCACTGGAACAACTTACTGGCCCAGTTTGCTTTTTAAAAGTCTCAGAATGTTATGCTTGAGCTCTACCACCGAGTTACACCCTCAGCTTGTTGTTGGTTTCATTCCCTGGGTTTAGCTAATATGGAATGGTAAGAGGAAAGGCTTCTACCTTTCCTAAAACAGCTTTTAAGAGGGCAGAGAGATTGCTCAGTGCTTAAGAGTACTGGTTGCTCTTCCAGAGGACTTCTTGGAGACCTTCTCAGCATCCACATGGCTGTTCATTTACAACCATTTGTAACTTCAGTCCTATGGATTCAACACCTTCTTCTGTCCTCTTTTGGCACTGGGCACATACGTAGTACACAGACATGCATTCAGGCAAAACACCATACACATAAGTTTTTAATAAAATAAAATTTAAAATAAATAGAACTTAAGGAACCAGAGAGCAGGCTTAGCAGTTAAGAGTGCTTGCTGCTCTTCTGGAGGACCCGAGTTTGGTTCCTGGCTCCAATTTTGGGCAGCTTACAACCACCTTTAGCTACAGCTCCAGAGGATCCATTGCCCTCTTGCCTCTTTGGGCATCTGCTCACAAATGGCAGAGAGAGAGAGAGAGAGAGAGAGAGAGAGAGAGAGAGAGAGAGAGAGAGAGAGAGAGAGAGAGAGAGAGAGAATGTTATAAAATCTTAAAGAAGAAAAAAAACTCAAGGGAAATATATTTTTTCAAAAGGAGGGTTCAAAAAGGGTAAGGCAATTTGGCCATCCAGGAGAGTTTTGTTCATGGTTAGTTGGTTTTAACAAAACTTCATCTCTCTGAGTCCTAGAACCTGGGGTCCTTTCTGGTAATACTCATATGCAACTTCCCTTTGCAAGCATGTCTGCCCTACCTTTCTGTACTAACTGGCCCTTATCTCTGCCCTTACCTCCTAAGCTTTTTTCAGCATTCACCATATAACAGTCAGAATATTCTTTTAAAACCACATTTAGTATTATGAGCCTCAGGTATGGGGTGTGTGTGTGTGTGTGTGTGTGTGTGTGTGTGTGTGTGTGTGTACTGTTTTAGTTAGGGTTTCTGTTGCTGTGATAAAACATCAGGATCAAAAGCAACTTAGTGAGGAGATTCATTTCACGCTACAGCTTATAAGTATATCACTGAGGGAATCCAAGGTAGGAACGAGGCAGGAATTGGCGTAGCATCCTTGGAGGTGTGTAGCTCCTCCTGACTTGTTCCGTTTTCTTCCTTATATAACTCAGGACCACTTAACCAGGGGCAACACCACCCACAGTGATCTGGGCTCTCCCATATCATCAATCAAGAAAGAAAATGCTCCATAGGCTTGCCCACAGGGCATTCTGGTGGGGGAAATTTTTCAATTGAGATTCCCTCTTCCAAAATAACTCTAGCTTGTATTAAGTTGACATAAAACTAGCCAGGACATACATTTTATACAGGTCTCTCCCTATCTCATGTCCTCAGGTCACTGCTACCATGATGTGAAGGCCTGGAACTGTGTCACTGGGCTGATTCCAAACCTATATTACTAAGTAGTCTTAGAGTGTTTTCAGTGCCAGATGCTTGAAGGTGGATGTGTCAGATGATGGACACATGAGAACCACTGGTCAATAGAAGACATTTTAAATGCAAGAAATAAATTTTGAAATTAAAAGCCACAGTTTATATCTTTTTTTTTTCTTTTCCATTTATAAGTTGGAATTACCCCAAAGTGACTTGAGGCCTTCAGCTCCTTGTCAGTGTTGTTAACTTGACGTTAATATCAGTAAGTAGTTTAGGCCACTTAACTAGTGGCACTGTGGCTGAGGCAGAGATTGTCTCTCCAGAGGCAAGAATGTTTGTGTAGGAAAATACATGTAAGGGTCCAGCTCTGAACTCTTAACCCATGGCTACCCCTGCATCTGCCAGCATGTACAGTGGTGAACAAGTGGGCAACTGTATCTGACTGAGGACAGAATCTACCTGTGTATTGCCCTACTTGTGTGTACTTTTCATCATATGTAAAACAAGTTTTGCTCTCTGATTAGAAAGCGGTATTTGATTAAGAGTATGGTAAAGAAGAGAAAATTCTTATTTTCAAAACAGGTTAATCTAACAGGCTATAGAGAAGAAAAATGCCCAACTTACAACAACAAACAAAAAGTGAGGTCTTAGTGATGAGAAAACAAGAGGACGAGAATTAGTGATGCCAGTCGACCCTCAGAGAGGTGGCAGAAGTGTTGTAGAGTACTATATTAAGGTTGTTACTTTTGTTTATGTTGCATTTGTTTAGCTCTGTGAAGCTGTGTTACTTTGTCAAAAACACCTGATGGTCTAATAAAGAACTGAATGACCAATAGCAAGGCGGGAGAAAGGATAGGCGGGGCTGGCAGGCAGAGAGAATATATAGGAGAAATCTGGGAGGGAAAGAAGAGGAGCCAGAGCAGGAGGAGGACGTCAGGAGCCAGCCAGCTACACAGCCAGCCACGGAGTAAGAAAGAAAGGTATACAGAAATAGAGAAATGTAAAAGCCCAAAGGCAAAAGACAGACGGGTTAATTTAGGTTAAGAAAAGCTGGCAAGAAACAAGCCGAGTTAACGCCGGACTTTTGTAGTTAAGAATAAGTCTCCGTGTGTGATTTATTTGGGAGCTGGGTGGTGGGCACCCCAAAAGAGAAAAAACAACCAACAACACAGAAGGGGAGAAAGGCCATGATACTGATGTTGTTACCAGTTTATCTATTGTAGATCATTGTCTGCTGCGTGGATGATCTTCCTTAGGTTCTTTAGTTCAAGCCTTTTATTAGTGAAACTCTCACAAAAGTCTCATTTCCATCTTGAGGCAGTGGCCAACTTGAGTCAAATGATACGTTCTTGATTCCTTTACTGTGTTTGGGAGAAGGACGGAAAGTGGCCACAGTGGCTGGTCACACCGGGCTTGGCAGTAGGAGATTTGATTGGTGTGTTTGCTTTGACATACCTTGGTTTCTGTAGATGTGGATAGATTTACAAAATATTTAGCATAAAGCTGTAAAATTTCTCCGTCCCTTGTGCCTTCATTTTGATGCTTCAGGAGAATAGAACTTTGGCTAGTTGTTATTGTTTATCATGTTCAGGTGTTTTCCTGTGTGTCTTACAGGCCATTCTTTGGTGTGCTAATACACTTTTTAAAATGAAGAGATTGGTAGATGCTAAGTTTGGGGTGTAGAAATGTTATTCAGAGATTATGCTTCTGGCCAGTTTTGCCTTGGCACACCTTTGAATTCCTTTGTATTTGTCCTGCTTGTTGATTTTGGAACTTCATTCTGAGACTTGGCATGCTCATCTGTTTGGGAAAATACTGTCCAGAATTTCTTTAAATATTAATTCTCTATTTCCCCTCCCTTCCCTTCCCAGGTCTCTAGTTAGATGTGTGACAGACTATCTTAGTCCTTTTCCCACAGCGCCCCCCTTTTTGAAGTTCTTCCACCTGGAGGTTCTTTTTCCTCCACGGTGACCCTTTTCACTATTAAATTAAATAATTAAATTTCATCATTAAATTTAATCCTGAATGTTTCCTGCATAATTTTCATAGGAACCAAACTCCTATGGGGGCAGCAATGAAGTAAGTCCAGCTCCCCCATCCCTTTCTCTCCTGTGTCTGCATGTATAAATTTTATACACGTGAAATAAAACTCATGAAAAATAAGCAGAAAGAAAGTTCTTCATGGGTCTATGTTTTTTAAACATGAAAAGTATGTTTACTAAACATAACATGTTAAATCTGTTTCATAAGCTCAGTTAACCTGAAGATCTTAGTCTAATCCCACGTTTAAGCGGCTTTTTATAGTGTGCATTGTGAAACATTTTAAACTTGACTTGTAAACTTAAGTCTCATTTTTTTGCTTTAAAGTCTTGAATTTTTTAATTGCTCATTTGATGTAGTTAGTAGTTAATAATAATTCACAATTTTCTAAGTTGTCCTAGAATTTAAATTTCTTCATTATGATTTTGTCACTGTAGACAGTTTGGGAAGGACAAAATAACCAGTCAGAGAAAATGCTCCTGAGTCTGACTGCTCAGCTAAGCCCATTTTGCTAATAACAATGTTATAAACACTAAGTTCAAACAATGATAAGATGAGCTGATAAGGTATTTACCATGTAGTCTGAAGTTAAGTTTTGTTATATGCTTTTAAAGCCAGACAGGATGAAAACTTACCCATCTTTTTTTCTGATTGCTTAGTTTTGAGTACTTCTCATATTCAGTTGACTACCCAAGGTCTTATTTCACAGGCATTTGATGGTTAGTGGGAGTAGAGGTGATTGAAATTATGTTTGTTCCTTATTACCTGATCTAAGGTGGTTATTATCCCAGTGCTGTGAGAAGGATGTCCATTTGAAAAGAATCTACAAATTACAGAGCAGTTTAAAGACTTATTTTAAAAGTACCATTATCTGTGTTGATGATTTCGTTTATTCACACTGTTAACTTACTGTTGCTTTTCCCTCTGTAGGAAGGCAGAAATCGAAAAGATGTCTTCCAGTAATGACCACGTTTTAGTACCAATGTCACAGACAAACACCAATGGCCTTCCTGGAATGAACTCAAGTGACCTGAAGACGCTTACAGGAGATGTGTTAAGTTTTCATAACATCACCTATCGAGTGAAAGTGAAAACTGGGTTTCTAGTCCGGAAGACGGCTGAGAAAGAAATACTCTCGGGTATCAAGTATGTGTATAAGCTCTTTAAGAGACTGTTGTATTTCCCTACAGTGACCTTTGCAACAAGTCACCGTGAACACTTCATGTATTTGTACCTATGTATAGAAACACATTCTTTTATTTCTTGTGTCTAAACTAGGACATAAATTACTTTATCACTTGTTAGGCATATATTTTACTTGCAAAGAAACTGTCAAAACTTTTTAAAAAATGGTCTCATGTTTTTGAACATTTTAACGTAGCATTTTGTTATGACTAGTAAGTCTTATGTATTAGTGGTAGAAATCTAACTTTGTGATTCATAGTGTGTTGATTGTAATGATATAATTGTAACCTCAGATTTAGTTTTCCAGTCTATGAAACAGAAGACCTGCTGATATACTTTTTAATATGTGTACACTTTATGTCTGTTATATTCTGGTAGAAAGAAGTTAGAAATGCAATATAATTTGAAAGTCCTTTGATTTTCAAATACACCTGTTTTAATAAATGACTTATTTATTATAAGCAGATTGTAGTCGTCAAGGATTTCCTTAGTACTCTCCCTCCATGATACTGACAAGTAGAGGAGCTTGGGATATGGCTCAGTTTGTAGAGTCCTGGCTTAGCACGCACAAAGCTCTGGGTTCGTTTCCCAGAACCACATAAAACCCTGTGCCTGCAAGTAATCCCAGCACTTGGGAGGTAGAGGCAGGAGTATCAGAAGCTCAAAGTCATCCTGAACTACACGAGACCTTGTTTCAAAAATACAAAGGTAGAAAAAAAGTGTAAGGTAACTCTGATTTAGCTGAGGTTATATAATTGAAGCCCAAAGTGATGAGGACTTGGGATCCAACTTAATGTTCTGTTTTAAAAGTACTTGGTAATCTGTGATATTTGTCCTTTCACCAAGCAATGAATTTATATTCAGAACATGGTGTTAAAGTAGGACCTAGAATGGAGAGTAACTGATTATTTCTGTAGAACCCATCACCACTCCCTCTTGGGTTGACATCAGGCTTGCTAATCTTTGCCTGATTTCTAGACAGTTGAGTTTCTAGTTTACCATTATGGGGATGGTAAATGAATTTGGGTTTGTTAAGATAGCTGCTCTTCTTTTCTGTCTTCTCCCAGGCTGCGGAGCATCTCTAAAAGTTCTTTGATCCAGTGTAACTGCAGGCCTATATGGAACCAGCTACATATACCCACGCGCGCGCACACACACACACACACATTTTCTTTCTGTTAATACCAACCTGCTTCCTCCAGAAAGCATGAAAATGACAACATATGGGAGAGAATTTTCAGATGTAGGTGGCAGAAAATAAGGTCATGAGACTGGTTGGCCTGAGGCCAGGAGCATTGCAGAATTACAACTCTATCCATGAGGTCAAACCTGCTGTCATGCCTCCTTTGTTGTTCTTTCTTATGTTAGTGAATCCTAACTAAGGAAAAAGGAGAGGTCTTCTGAGTGCAAAGCTGTTATCATTTGTTCATGCATAGGTAGAACTGACTTACGAAAAACTGATACTTTTTTGAAGTATAATAATGTAAGAGTTAGGATGTAGCTTAGTGGTAGGTGGCTTGTTTATCATATGCAAGGCTATGGGTTCAAAACCAATACCCCCAACACACACACACACACACACACACACACACACACACACACACACACACACCGCTGGTCACTTCACATTTGTATTGAAAAATAAAGATGATAGTATTAGAATAAGGACTGTTTTAATAAATGTACAATACATACTGTGAGATGGTACTCTGTGAGTGTGTGTATGTGTGTTATAATTTTGAGGATTATACCTAGAACTTTGTGCATGCTACACAAGTGTTCTCCCACTGAACCTTTCTGTCAGTCCCCTGTGATTCTCTTCAAGCAGGTAATGACTGGATACACACTGAGTGTATCATGTGTTCCAGGCTTCACAGTGTGCTTATGGTAGAATGGCATGCACATTAGCAAAGGAGGAAGCAATTGTCTTAGTATCCCCTTGACGAGTAAAGTAGAAGCAAATCTTGTTTTTTCTTATTTTTAGTTCCATTTGTATAGTTAAAGGGACAGCTAGGATTGTATTCTTGCTCACTCACATCTGGTTTGGGTTTGCACGAGAAAGGTCATTCCTTTGCTTGCAGGGTTTCTAACCTTTCCCCTGTCTACTGGCTTCAACTAAGTAGAGTCTCTGTGCCGCAGAAAGGATTGCTTTCGCTACCTTATTTTTTTTTTATTTGTGTTTGATAGTAGCATCACCATTAAAAATGGTTATTATATTCCGAAAAAGCTGATGAGAATCAAATATTCTTTGGATCTTGTATGAGAAGAAAACAAAGCAAAATCTGTCCATGAGAATGCCAAAGACTTTCCTCCCTGGTGTAGAGTCTTTCTCTTCCTTTGTCTCCATAGTCGACACCTGAGCTTTCCCGGTGCTGAAGATCTCTGGAAGAGATCACCATCCCAGGGCATGTGTCTGCCATATAATCGGTTGGGTGGGAGGAGATTCATTATACTCTTGCGAAGATTGTTAAACAAATTATTTTGAAATAATTTCAGGATTAAACTTGTAGGAATATGACAGTCCACCCAGTTTCTCTATTAATGTTTCACTGACTTTGGTGCCATCCTTCTCTTTTGGTACCCACTGTCATTGGTGGTTTGGGGGACCCTTTTAAAACTAGACTATCCACTCGGCACTCTTGTATCTCCAATTCCTCCAGTGTAAGCTTTCTAGAAGGAAGGACCTTCTCCAATGTAATCATTCAGTTGGCCAGCAGCAGGCAGGGGGAACTGTAACCTCATGACAAGGGCAGTCATGCCTCTGAAGATTCCTCACAGTTGACCAGCTGCCACATCCTGTGGTTCTATTCTTCTCCAACCTGATGTTTCTGTTTCATCCAACATGGTGTTCCATCCACTTGGGATATTAAAATTGATTACCTGGTGATGTTACTCTCTGTCAGGTTGTACCATAATGTCACAATTTGACTGTTTGTTCTTGATTGGTACTATGTGGCAGAGTCTCCTGACATTCTTCCAGAACCCTATTCCTCACCAAACATGAACTTCTTGTGAGTTGCAGTCTCTATGATGACACCTGTCTAGGTCCAGCTACCACTGTGATAATTGCCAGAGAGTTATTTACCTGTTCACCATCTCATAGTTGGCATTTCACTTGGGAAAAGCTGCAGCATCTCTCTTTCATTTCCTGTGGTGGTTCGAATAAGAGATGTCCCTCATAGGCTCATGGATCTGAACACTTGGTCCCCAGTTGTGGCACTGTTTGAAGAGGTTATGGAACCTTTAGGAGGGGGGCATTGTTGGAGGAAGTGGAGTGGATTTGAGGGTTTATAGCCCTACCTCACTTCGTACATTCTCTGTTTCCTGGAAGCAGTTGAGATGTGAGCTTAGTTTTCTGCTTCTGCCTGTGTGCCTTCCTAGATGCTGTGGACATCTGGCCCTCTTAAGTCAAAATAAGCTCTACTCTTTTTTTGTTGTTGTTGTTTTTTCGAGACAGGGTTTCTCCCTGTAGCTTTGTGCCTTTTCTGGAACTCGCTTTGGAGACCAGGCTGGCCTCGAACTCACAGAGATCCACCTGCCTCTGCCTCTCGAGTGCTGGGATTAAAGGCGTGCGCTACCACCGCCCGGCTAAACTCTACTCTTAAGTTGCATTTGATCATGGTATTATATTGCAGCAACAGAAGAGTTACCAGCACAACTGGATATACTCCTGGATTTCTGTTTTCTTTACTAGCCTTCAGCAATAATGCATCATCATTTGTGTTGGAACTCCTTTTGTTCCTAATTTGCTTGCAGAACACCTTCAGGGTAATTTCCACTTCTCCTTTACTACTTTGTAAGTAAATTTTCAGTATTTCTTTGGTACTGGAGGAAGTTCCAGAATTACTGATTATTTATGCTTCCTGTGACCTGGACTCAGCTGACGTTCATTTTTGTAGAAAATGGTCCTTACACCTGGGATCTGGGTCCTCGGCATTCTCTTTGCTGTTACAATATACCTCTGTGCTTTCTGAATGGGAAGAACTGGGTAATAGATGTGTGCTTGTAGACATGCACATACCGTTGTTTGAAGGTTCAGATGCCTATAGGTCTTGGTAGGTAGAATGAGAGGGAACTAAGTAGTAGGTGAAGATCTGGTGAAGGAGCAGTTAATGGACATCTACTCTCATCCGTACAGGGACTTTCCTAACTGTGCCTTTCTGTAGCTCTCTGTATGTAGATGACACATAATCCCTCATTAATATATCAATTATAATCTATGTATAGATAACACAATTCCTCATTAATGTATCAATTATAATCTATATGTAGATAACACATACTTCCTCATTAATGCATCGATTATAATCTAATACTTTACATTTGTTCTGCATTCACATGTTTTCTTTCCTCTCAAGATGTATAAAATTTAGCTAGCATTCTTTTCTTTTCTTCCTTCTATCTCGGGGATTAAACCCAGGGCCCTAGACATGCCGGACGGACAAGTGTTCTACTACAAAGCTACATCTCCAGTCTTCATTAGTCTTGATGGACTTCCTGGTCAGCCCAGATTTTCTTATTCCGTCAGTCATATAAGTAGTAGTCTGTCTGGCTGTGGCTATCTCTTTCCACTTCCTGGTCAGCTCAGATTTTCTTACTCCGTCAGTCATAATTATCTGTCTAGCTTATGACTATCTCTTCTGTTTCCCACCCTCTTTGAAGCTCATGTTAGTGTTGGCTGTGTAGAACTTATGTCGTCTTCCTGCTGAGAGAGGGAAGAAAAAAAGAAGTCTAACAGAAGCCATCAGGGAGTTGTTGTTGTTGTTAATGTTGCATTTTAGCATTTTGAAACAAGATTTAATGAATCCCATTACTTAACCTCAAACTTACCGTGAAACCAAGAATGGCTTGAATTCCTGGTCTTCTTGTCTTTATGTCCCAGTTTCTGGGATTAGAGATGTGCCACCACATCCCACTAGTAGAAAGGATTAATACATTATTTGATTAAAAATAACAAATGAGAATATGAAATTAAAGTTTTGTGGACAGATACTTATTTTCACTAAGTGGTTTCTAATTTCTTATTTATTAACTAAGCACTCAGTTTAACATAAAGATGACATTTATTAATAAGATTATCTTAATTCCTGGCTTGGTTTGTTTTATTTTAGTTTAAAAAAAAATGACTTTCTTTGAAGTTCCAAGCTGTAATCTCACCAGTCAGGAGGCTGAGAAAAGGAGATTTCTGTGTGTTGAAGACCAGTCAGGGCTACATAGTGAGTTCTCGGCTAGCCTGGGCTATAATGTGAACAACTGTCTCAAACAAAAGTCTTAATAAGGAAAACATAGATTCCTTTATTCAGTAATTTTTGAATGCCTGCTAGGTTCTTCGTGTTATATAGATTTTTTTTTCTGTTCTCAGAGACTATATTTTAATTAGGAATTCAGAAACTGGAGTATTTTCACTGTGTTAATTTCTGCTGTGACAGAGGATGAAAAAGATGTAACTGAAATGACTTGCTCTGAGGAAGAATGGGTACATCAGAATTGTATGTGTGTGTGTATGTGTGTGTGTGTGTGAGTGTATGCAAGTGTGTGAGTATGTGTGTGTGTGTGTGTGAGAGAGAGAGAGCATGTGCATGTGTGTGTGTGTGCGTGCATGTCTGTGAGTAGGAAAATGCCCCTCCTTCAAAACTGACATTCACAGTCTTTGTCTATAAACAAAATAGGACGGAAGGATTGACTGTTGCCCACTAAAATGCAATAAAAATGACAGGGCTCCTTCAAGGAGATTTCATTTTATGCATTCAGAGAGCAAAGTCTTCATGTGTCACAGTTTTTACTGGAGGCATCTGACATATTAATGAAGGAGGACCACACACGCAAAGGCTGTAAAGCAATAAATAGGAGTAGGGAATGGCTGAGATGGGTGACAGAAGGGTGAAGGGTAGGGTGGGGAAGTTAGGAAATTGTAGGTCACAGCAGAACAGAGGTCATCAGCATACACTTTCTATAAAGGGGCAGGTCGTAAATATCTTCCGCTTTATGAGCCATCCAGCAATGTTGTAACTGAGCTCTGCTTTATGGCATGAGGCTGATACCACTCTGAAAGCATAGTTACATCCAGGTCACACCACTGATGAAAGCAGGGAATAGGTGACTGGCTATAGTGTGCTGATTCAGGAGGACCCAGACTTCATTGTTTCATTTGTTTATCTGCTTGTTTTCTTAGCTTAATTCATCTCCTACAGTTTAAATCATTCTGGATTTCTTAGTCTTTATATATGTATGAATTTTTAAATACTGAAAAGAGTTTTGTGGCAGTGAATACTGATTGAATAAAAGGTTCTGTTCATTTTTGAAGCAGTTGCTAGGTAGCTATTGATAAAGGAGAGACATCAAGAGGTATAAATAGATGCACACTGAAAGGTTACCCAGGCATCTCTGCATTTGCATGTTGGACAAGCATGTTGGAGAGGTAACACAATAAAAGAATAAGATTGTTCTGTGTTACAACTTGAATGAGGCTTAATAACCTGTTATTATATTTGTCTGATATTTCACTGAGAAGTAAATCAGTTAACAAGCAAAGCAAAATGTAATAATTGTGATACATGAGGTATAACAGACAATGAGTGGTGAGTTCCTCTTGTATTTAAGACAGTGAGACAGGTGCACTAGAGAGTTCATTGCTCATGACAATGTATAATCATAAGGAAGATATTTCAAGTCATCATCTAATCGAAATAGTTGGCAGTTTTGACTTTCCACTTGCAATAGATGCTGTGTTCTCTGTGGAATACGTCTTGACCTACTTCCAGTTCTAGGGGCTGAACATGACCCCAGTGTATTAGACAGGCCAGCGTGGACTCTCTTCCCCATTCCTGTGCAGCTGTAATGGGCCTGCCCTTAATTCTCCTTTCTCTTGTTCCTTTTCTTCAACCACCCTACTTGTCATCTTTAGGGTAAAGTTCATGCTTTCTTGGATATCATCCCAGTCAACATGGCTGTAATTTTTCCATCTTAGTTGGTCTAAATATCCCTTTAGTTTGTTGAAAGAGGTGGCTGTGTATTGTGTAAGTCGTTATTAAACACTTCACAGTGAAGGTGATCATTTCTTCCAAGAGTATGTGTTTCCCCCTTGAATTAGTAACACTTTTTTCATTGTTTCAAATTTTTGTTAGAGTGCGTGTGTGTGTGTGTGTGTGTGTGTGTGTGTGTGTGTGTGTGTGTGTGTGTGTAGAGAGAGAGACAGAGACAGAGACAGAGACAGAGACAGAGACAGACAGCACCAGGACAAACATGGAGGTCAGAGGACAACTTGTAGGAGTCAGTTCTCTCCTTCCACTATGGCTTCTGGGAATCAAACTCTGGTCTTGAGACTTGCAGAGCCAGGGTTGGCCTGCTGAGGCATCTTGCCTACCTGACATGTTTTACTTTAGTGTTAAGTACTGACGATGCTTTCATCCTGATGCTGGAACTTCTATTTAAGATACTTTGACTTTTTAATCTGATTAGATTTTAGTAATGCGAACATCACTCACTGGTATTCTACAAGTGTTGATTGTTCTAAACTTGGCTAGGTAGGAAGTGGGACAATTTGAAGATACTCAAAAACTTTTATGGACTTTATGTCATTTTAAAGGGTGTAATAGGAATGCAGAATCTTTGAGAATCTTCCTTCCTTATTTCCAGAATCTGTTATTTTAAGAGTCTTATATTAGAATCTTACTTAGAAAAACGTAAATTGCTATTGCTGGGATTGAATCCAGCGCCTCATGCATAATAAGCATGGGCTCTACCACTGAGTCCTATGCTCAACTCAACATCAAGGAACCTGGGACATTGGCTATGCCATTTTCAAAAGGTTACGTTGTTTCAAGAGCTAGTTACAAAACAATAGCAAAAGAAAGGAATTTAGAAGGGCTGGACTGTTTTTCATAGGGTCTGTGTTGATAGCCTTTAGATTACACTTCAAACATCAGTGATTCTTTATCTCTAAGAGGTTTGCAATTGGGCTCTGCTGACTCCCCATGGGAGACCTCAATTTGGGGGATGTGGGGATGCAGGGTGGCTTGGGAAAGAGGGCTGGGGGTGGGAGGAGGGAGGAGGGGGGATCTGTGGATAGTATGTGGAGTGAGTAGAAAATTTTTTAATAAAGAAAAATAAAAGAAAAAAAAATATATATATATATACATACATACATACAATAGGGAAAAAAGAGGTTTGCCATTTCATCCTCCTTTATTAGTGTGTTAAGTGCAGATGGTAAGTTCAAAGAACTTCATGTAAAATACAACATTAAAATAATATGATTTTGTTTCTAGTGGAATCATGAAACCTGGCCTCAATGCCATTCTTGGACCCACGGGCGGAGGCAAGTCTTCGTGAGTATAACGCACATATAAATAAGCCTTTTCTGGTCATTAAATATCCCATTTACATACACAAGTGTTGGCTGATTATTTGCCAGTGTACATCCTGTCTGGTCTTAGGTGCTGTGGGTAATATGGGGTTGAACTATCTCATGGTTTTGTCCTAAGGACCAGAAAGACTTATTAGGTCAGCTTTAGTAGTAGCACATGATGAAGTGATTTGTATATACTGGTAGATCATATTATGTATTAGGGAGGAGGTAAAAGAATGATGTAATATTAAAAATGAAGGCATGTAGAGAAAGTATAATCGAAGTCATGAATACTAGTTAAACAGCATGTTGTCTGGGTTGTGATCTCCAAGGTCCATTGACCAAGAGGGTCATTTGAGGGGGTCTTGCTATTTAAGGCAATGTTTTCTTCCTTTTATATTTTGAGTTTTGCTTAGCATATAATGAAGAGGAATCTGAGAATTTAGAACATGTAAACCTGTTTTTTGTTTTGTTTTCCTTGTTTGATTTTTGAGACAGGATCTCAACTGTGTAGCCCTGGCTAGCCTGGAAGTCACTATGTAGACTAGGTTGGCCTTGAACTCACACAGATCCTCTTGCCTCTGCCTCCAGAGTGCTGGTATGAAAGGTGTATGCCACCATGCTCAGTCTATAAATTTGCTTTTAAAATAGAAATTTATCAACTAGTTAAGTTTGAACATTAGCAGGATTTGCATTTAGAGCATCTAAGCAATATGGCCTGTGTAGAAGGAAAGAATACCTTCATAGCATAATGTACATGCTCTTTACAGGTTATTAGATGTCTTAGCAGCAAGGAAAGATCCACGAGGATTATCTGGAGATGTTCTGATAAATGGCACACCCCAACCTGCCAATTTCAAATGTACTTCAGGCTATGTGGTTCAAGTGAGTATAAGTGAATTGGGGCACTGTACGTGCAAGTGCATTTGCTTATGGTTTAGTTTGCTTCCAGTTGAATGTATAACATGCTCATAGGACCAACATCTTTGCATATTTCCATAATATTCTATCACATTGGGGGTGGTGTTAAAGGGAAAGACAGAGGGGACCTGGAATATGACCCTTGTAGGGCAGTGGTATCAGTTCTGGCTGCTATAGAATTAAAAACAAAGTTTACCCTTCCTTCACCTTCTTTCTTCCCATTGTAGATGTCTTTGCCAAATCCTTCTACCAGGCAGCCTTGAAGTGTCTAGTAGCAGTCATTGTATTACATGTGTCCTGTTTGGGTATAGAGCTGGGTGACGAAACTGATACTATTGAACTTTGTGGGTGTCTGTATATGCAGCTAGTGTAGCTTAGGAGAGTACACAGTTCTCCAGTAGCCAGAATTTTATCTTGGATGTATTTCTTGTATGGATTGAACTATATATACTCAAATGATGGGCATAGAAAAGACTCATATCTCACTAAAATGCCACCTTGCCTTCAGGATGACGTTGTGATGGGCACCCTGACAGTGAGAGAAAACTTACAGTTCTCAGCAGCCCTTCGGCTTCCAACAACTATGAAGAATCATGAAAAAAATGAACGGATTAACATGGTCATTAAAGAGTTAGGTCTGGAAAAAGTAGCGGATTCCAAGGTATGAAAACCCCTTCTAGTATCATAGGCAGGAAATAGCCTTGTCTGGGCAATATAACCTTAACTACAAGTTTCCTATAATGTCTGCATGATGAGAAAGTAACTGGTTATGTAAGATAAGATAGAAATTAAGGTGGAAAAAAAAACCCTAATAAGGCTGATTCCTGGGAATGGAGTGTGGTCCAGCTGAGAAAAGTGTTCCTCATGTGGCTTTTTCTATGCACCCTTCCACCAGCTCCATTCTTCAGGTCACAGCTTGCTCTGTACCTGCATTAACTGTTCTGCTACCTGTTGAGGAAAAGTTCCAAAACAAGAAAGACATGAATCCAAAGCTTCTTGCTATGCATACATCATTTTACTCTGATTTGGCTTCCAAAATTGTAGTTGGTCACATTAGGCTTTACTTACAATTTGTCCAGTGTTCAAGGTACTTTTCTGTAGTTTGTCTTTTAACAGTTGTATTCCCCTCCTTTCCTTTTAACTCTCCTTTCTTCCTTATCTTCTGTCAGTATTTGTTTCCAGACCCCTACATGCTGGGCTGTGTTAGGCTTTCGGGAGTAACAAAGATGGAGAAGCTGCTTCTCCTTTTGAGTGTTATACAGGATCAGGAAGGGGACTTGAGACAGTGGATGAACTTTACAAATGACCAATCCATCTAGTTTTGCTGAGCAGACATTTGGGCATTGGGTGAAAGTACAATGGCTACAGTTTAACACTCTCCTGCCCATAATTATTTTACTCCGTCGAGGCAATGGATAATGGTGATTGCAGGGAACTGTTGCTTCTCTTGGTGCTTGCCAGCAGTCTCTCATGGGCTGTGTGTTTTGTTGGGAAGAATAACCTTGGGATGACACCATTTGACTGTATTTCTGAATCACTGTATTTGCTCTGCTATGGCCCTGTTTACTTGCTTGATTTTGTCTTCCTAGAATACTTTCCCTTGAGTTTGTTATTTGTTCTTTTTTTTTTTGTATGTATATGGTGCTGGTTATTGTTCCTTGGGCCTCATTCATGCTAGGCACGTGCTGTGCTACTGGACTATACCTCCATCTTGTTCTTCACCTTTAAACAGTCATTGCTATAAGTTGCTTGTTTGGATTTCCAGGAGAAATATAGAGAGATGCTCACTGACTTTTTAGAATTAATATAATGTAAATTATTAAGATATTTTATTTTATAAAACATTAAGCATAACAAACACAGAGAAAAGAGTCTGATATAATGTTAAAACTGTTAGCTAAAATAATGATATAATTGCTAATACTATTTGTATAGATTTCTCAGTTGTTAACATCTTATGCCATAATCTCTTCAGCTATTTCTTACTAGAGTACTTTAAAGAAAAATTCATAGTCCTTTACCCCTCAATACTTGTTATGTACCTGTAAAAACCAGGCATGAGACCAGGAGTGCAGCTCAGTTGTAGAACATGTGTTTAGCATGTGCAAGGCCCTAGATTCTATCACTAGCACAGAGGAGGATACTTACCTACTTATCACAATACCATTATCAACTAACAAAATGAAAAAAATCATATCACATTCATTCTCTTTTGCCAAATTGTCTTCAAAAGTTTCTTGTAATTCAGTTTTTATTAGGACCCAGTTAAAGTTCTCAAATTACATGAGATTATAGCTCCTTGGATTGTGTGATTTCAGAATCATTCCCCACCTTCTGCATCCCTTCTCCCAACCCTTCCTAGTACCCTCTCCCACATAATGACAATGAGCAGTTGAAAAAGTTGAGCCAGTTTTTCTGTGAAATATCTCACCTTCCGGATTTGTACGAAAGGACGAGTTGGGAATTCTACGGTGAATTCGTATACAGACGGCATCAAGTTGGAGAGAGAAAAGCACTTAAAATGGTGTTGTAGAACATGAATTTTCCTCTTCCTCCTCGTCTAAGTCCACTTAGAGACCATCAGATGGAGAAAGAGAGAGAGATTTAGGTGCTGAGTGATTGAGAAATTCCTGTCAGTGTGTTCCTCTTCCTCTTTTTATCGCCTATTTTAGACTAAAATTTTACTGTATCTTGGAGTGTTCTCATTCTTTTGCCACTTGAAAACAAAATTGTGAGCTGAAGGACTAGCTCAGTTGGTAATCTGCTTGCCTTGTAAGCATGATAACCTGACTTCAGGCACTAGAGCCCATGGAAAACAAGCCTCACGTGGTGGTGCACATTGTGATCTTAGTACTGGGAGGCAGGGACAGGTGGGCTCCCAAAACCTAGCCACCTTGGTGAGCTCCCAGTCAGTGAGAAACACTGTCTCAAAAAATAAATTGGATGGCTTCTGAGGAAGAACAGACTATGAAAACCATGGGCTCCATTTCATATTAGGCCACCTTGCAGCTCTAACCAGAGCCTTAGTTTACCCATCTGATTGAAAAAAAAAAGCCTCTTCCCAGGCATTTTGCTATTAGTAAACCAATAATCTTCAGAGTAGTGATGATCATAAGATAAAGTGTCTCAGGCCAGGCAGTGGTGGCGCACGCCTTTAATCCCAGCACTCGGGAGGCAGAGCCAGGCAGATCTCTGTGAGTTCGAGGCCAGCCTGGTTTCCAAAGCGAGTTCCAGGAAAGGCGCAAAGCTACACAGAGAAACCCTGTCTCGAAAAACCAAAACCAAAACCAAAACAAAACAAAACAAGATAAAGTGTCTCTACCAGGGACAGGCAGTAGAGCATGCACTTACAAGGCACTTCTGGAGACAGTTCAGAGATCGTTAGGGCTGCACGGGTCTGTCTACCAAATGATGGCAACCGTGTTCGCTCTCATTGATAAAGGTGACACTTGCTTTAGGTTGGAACCCAGTTTACCCGTGGTGTCTCTGGAGGAGAAAGAAAGCGGACAAGCATAGGAATGGAGCTGATCACTGACCCTTCCATCCTCTTCCTGGACGAGCCCACAACTGGTCTGGACTCCAGCACAGCAAATGCTGTCCTTCTGCTCCTGAAAAGGTAAATGCTGCAAGAGCACTGATCCTTCATGTTCTTCATATCTGGTCGCTTATGTGTGGCTGGTGTTCTTTGTGCAGGAGGTTCAGAAGTAAACAATCTTCTCCTACTTTGTTAAAAGGAAAGAAGTGATATTAGGAAAGGTTAAATAAGAGTATAGGGGACGATAGCTGTGATGGCGCTGGGTTGCTGTTTTATTTTTCTTTATTAAGAAATTTTTTATTCCTTTTACATACCAATCACAGATCCCTCTCTCATCCCTCCTCCCGCTCCCTCCCAGCCTTCCTCCCAGCTCACCCTCCATTCCCTTCTCCAAAAAGATAAGGCTCCCATGGGGAGTCAGCAGAGCCTGGTACATTCAGCTGAGGCAGGTCCAAGCCCCTCCCCCTGCATCAAGGCTGGGCAAGGTGTCCATAGATAATAAGCTCCAAAAAGTCAGCTCATACACCTGGCATAGATCCTGATCCCACTGCCAGGGGCTCCATAAACAGACCAAGCTACACAACTGTCTTGCTTATGGAGAGGGCCTAGTCCAGTCCCATGCAGGCTCCACAGCTGTGGGTCTAAAGTTCATGAGTTCTCACTAGTTGGTTCAGTTCTCTGTAGCTTTCCCCATCATGATCTTGATGTCCCTTGCTCATAGAATCCCTCTTTTCTCTCTTCAACTGGACTCCTGGAGCTCAGCCTGGTGCTTGGCTGTGGATCTCTGTATCTGCTTCCATCAGTTACTGGATGAAGGCTCTATGACAGTTAGGGTATTCACCAATCTGATTACTGGGATAGGCCAGTTCAGGCACCCTCATCACTGTTGCTAGTAGTCTAAACTGGGGTCATCCTTGTTGGATTCCAGCTTGGTCATCCCATTCCCTTATGTTCTAATCCCCCATCACCTATCCTCTATTTCTCCCCCTCACCCCAGTTTACTCAGGAGATCCCATCTATTTCCCCTTCTCAGGGTGGTCCATGCATCCCTCTTAGGGTCCTCCTTGTTAGCTAGCTTCTCTGGAGCTGTATGTTGTAGTCTGGTTATTCTTTGCTTTACATCTAGTATCCACTTCTGAGTGAGTACATACAATATTTGTCTTTCTGAGTCTGGGTTACCTCACTCTCAAGACCCAGCGATACCACTCTTGGGCATATACCCAAGGAATGCTCAATCATACCACAAGGACACTTGCTCACCTATGTTCATAGCAGCAGTATTCATAATAGCCAGAACCTGGAAACAACCTAGATGCCCCTCAGCCGAAGAATGGATAAAGAACATGTGGTACATATACACAATGAAGTACTACTCAGCAGTAAAAAAAAAAAAGACATCATGACATTTGCAGGCAAATGTATGGAACTAGAAAATATCATCTTGGGTTGCTGTTTTAAATAGCAGGAAGGTCAAGGAGGATCTGGTACATGGCCATAGGACCTGGGAGTCAGGGAGTGAGATCTAGATGTATCTAGCAACAGAATCTGGCTGAAGGGAACAGTCAGTGGCCCCAAGGCAGAAGATGCCTGATATGTCTGGAACATTAAATAGACAGGAGAACCTAGTTACCTCAGGGCGGCACATATTAGGTAGGGTACAGTTAAAAGGAAACACCATGGACTGGTGGCTTAACAAAGGAAGCCAGTCTTTTCAAGCCCTGCTGTGGAAACTTACCATCTGCAGTCTGGTAAATGATTATGCTTGTGTAGGTCAAAGTGCGGTCCCGGGGGACTCTTTGAGGATATGCTCATTCCAATATCCCTAGTCCTCAGACCTACTTTGTGGATCAGACCTCAACACAGCTCTGCTCCTCCTGGTAGCTCCTGTTGCCTTCTGGCTCTTAGAGTTCCTGACAGAAGACTGACAGCTTAAGACAAAGACCTGCTAGCTTTCACTCCCTCCAGTAATGCCCGCTACCTGTATCCCTCCCCATCCCCTGCCTATGGACCATTGTGACAAGTTCAAGACCAAACCAGGATGTGTTTACCCCAAACTTGTGGACCTATTAGCTCCCTGACTCTGTTCAAACTGGCCAACCCTCAATGGGGAGAACAATCCCCTCAGACATCCTTTAAAACTCCCAGTTCTCAGTGAGAGGCCAGGGTTTAGCATCCACATTCCTAAGCAGAGGATCCTTCTGTGTATGTGTTTCCTCACCTTAATAAAAGCCTTTCTTTACCTTTTGTGTGTGTATGTGTGTGTGTGTGTGTGTACATTCTCCCAGAGATTCTTGCTGTGGGATAATGCTTTTGTACACTGGTTTAATAAAATGCTGATTGGCCAGTAGCCAGGCAGGAAGTATAGGTGGGATAAGCAGACAAGGAGAATTCTGGGAAGAAGAAGGCTGAGTGAGGAGATGCCAGCCTGCTGTCCAGGGAGCAGCATGTAATGGCACACAGGTAAAGCCATGGAACACATGGCAACATATAGAATAACAGAAATGGGCTGAATTTAAGTGCCAGAGCTAGTCAGTAGTTGGCCTGAGCTAATGGCCGAGCAGTTTTAATTAATATAAGCCTCTGTGTGTTTACTTGGGTTTGAGCAGCTGCGGACTGGGCAGGACAGGAAAACTTACAGCTACAGATTCTGACTCAGTGTCTGTGAAAACTGTCTCAGTGTCTGCATTTGTCAATAAACATTCTAGTGCACTTTGTCTGCCCTGGCTCCTTAAGAAATTATGGCTGAATTTGTTTGTTTGGGGTTTTTGTTTGTTTGTTTCTAAGGATTAAGTCCAAGGCCTCGAACGTGCTAAGCACTTTATTTACAACTGATCTCCAAGGTTGCAATACTCCCAGATGCCCTAGTTTTTAATAAAAGCACCAAGATTCATTTCCCTAGATATCAAGCCGATACCTTGAGATGAGCTGATACAATATGTATATGTGAGAAAATCAAATTGAAATTGAGACAGATGTTCTAACAGCAGGAATAAAGTATTTTTTTAACAATAAAGGTAAGGATGAGAATCTGAATGACTCATTTTCTTCTCATAACTTAGGATGTCTAAACAGGGTCGAACAATTATCTTCTCCATTCATCAGCCTCGGTATTCCATCTTTAAGTTGTTCGACAGCCTCACCTTGTTGGCCTCAGGGAAACTCATGTTCCATGGGCCTGCCCAGGAGGCTTTGGAGTACTTTGCATCAGCAGGTATGGTTGGTTGTTTTCCATATGGTGTAGGTCTTTGCTTCACAGAATTGTGTGGCTGGGGCAGAGAATCCATAGAAGTGTTGTTTAGTCTTCATGTAGGCTTACCATGCTTCCTCCATTCTAAAATATTTTGTGTTAGTATTTTTCTTCATTTTGTGTGATCTTTAACTTTTCCTGTGCTCTTTGAATATTTGTGACATCTGTGTCTAAGTGTATCTGTGTCAAGGGCCTGTGCTGCATCTGACTCACAGTCATGTTGGCCTTTCCCTGAGAGTGTAGTAGTTATCAGTTTCCCAGTCATGGTGGCCTTTCCCTGAGAGTGCAGTAGTTGCCAGTTTCCCAGTCATGGTGGCCTTTCCCTGAGAGTGCAGTAGTTATCCGTAGAGTCACAGCAGTTTGATCAGTTGAACAGTTTTGGGAAGACCTAGGATTGTTGTCTCCTTGACTACAGGGCAGATCCCAGTTTTTCAGTTTTCACCAGGCCTGTGATCTTACTGTGCTTTCCTGAGGGCTCATGGAATGATACTTAACCTTCTAGTAACATTATGTTGACAGTTTAGTCTGTGAGTGGGTCTGAGTGACTTATCTCAAACCTCACTTTGATGAGCCTGCATTTTTGACATTTCTGAGTTGCTTCCTTCTATTTCAGATTAAATTACACGATTTTTTTAGATTTATTTACTTTAATTTTTTTATGTGTATTAGTATCTACCTTATATATGTGTACCACCTGTAGGGCTGGTGCCCTGAGAGGTCAGAACAGAGCATTGGATCCCCTTAGTACTGGAGTTACAGAAGGTTCTGAGCTGCTGTGTGAGTGCTAGGGGCCAAACCTGGGTCCTCTGCAAGAACAAGTGCTTTTAACTGCTGAGCCATCTCTTCAGCCCTGTGATTCCTTTCCTTTTTAAATTCAGTATATATAATCTTTTTCATTTTAGAGGTACCTAGCTGTGATTATAGATGACTCTTCATGACTTCAAATAAAATTTTAAATATTCATTATCATCTGTCATTTAAAATAATTGAGCATGTTTTGGTTAAGAGCACTGGCTTCTCTCTCGGGGGACCCTGGTTTGATTCCCAGCACTCACAGGATGACTCTCAACTGTCTGTAATTCCAGTCCCCAGAGATCCTCCATCTCTTGGCTTTCCAGGCACCAGGCCCACATGTGGTATACAGACATACATTTAAGAAAACACCTATACACATTAAAAGGAAAAAAAAATAAAATAATTGAGCCCAAATGAGTGGGGAGCTCAGTGTCTATGAATTTGAGACAGACTTCAGGGCAATTTGAGAGGACTGTAAAGTTGAGGTCAGAGTTCAAAGTGTGCTGTACTGTCCATACTCTCTTGAGAATGCTGCCCCCAAATTGCGCTCTATTTGGAACTCTAATAGTCTGACAGATGAGAATTACAACCTCTCCACGTAGTTGAAAAAGCAATAGTGATGGTGTGAGGACCTGAAGTGAGAGAACATAAGGACGGTTAATGTTTTCTTTTTTTGACCTGAATTTACATCGTAAGAGGAAGACTGTAAGCACCAGAGAATATCAGTAGTCCTGTGCAGGTCATAATTTATGGTCAACACCAATGTAAGATGTTCTCAAGTGTCCAAAATTCCTTTTGAGTTATTGGAATATTTATTAAATATTTAAGGGCAAAGGGTGTATTAGTGAAGGGAAAAGAGTGGGAAGAGGGAGAACTTGGTAGATTCTGTCTTCCCAAGCCTCTGTGTTTTCTAAGATCATCAGGTTTGTGTCCTTGTATTGCCTTCTCTTCTAGGTTACCACTGTGAGCCCTACAATAACCCTGCAGACTTCTTCCTGGATGTCATCAATGGAGATTCTTCTGCTGTAGTGTTAAATAGAGACAGAGAAGGCCAGGAAGGTATGTGACTCTTGTAGATTCATTAGTGTCTGCTTGATTTGATAAAACTGCAGTAGTGTGGCTCATTAAAACATGCTTTTGTAGGACAACCAGAACTACAATAGTAAGATCATGCCTCAAAACAACAACAACAAAAAGATGCTTTTTAAATTCATGTTAATTCAGTGCTGTGGTAGTAGTCAGTAGACAGACTGTTGTCTGTAAGTGCTTGGGTGTTTATTTAATTTGTAAATGAGTGTTTTCCTTCAAAGTGTCAGTTGTAAGGCAACTTTCCACTTGAAAATGGTTATTTTTTTAAATAGTATTAGTCAGGGTTCTCTAGAGGAATAGAACTAATAGATTGGATATGTATGCATATGTGTATGTATGTATGCATATATGAATGAGAGTGGCTTACGGGCTGTGGTTTTGAGATAGGAGATCATCATGTAGTCTTGGCTAGCCTGATTTGTTTGTTTTGAGATAGGAGATCATCATGTAGTCTTGGCTAGCCTGAAACTTGCTATGTAGACCAGGCTGGCCTTGAACTCACAGGTATCTTGTAGACCAGGCTAGCCTTGAACTCACAGGTATCTGCCTGCTTCTGCCTCTCAAGTACTGGGGGCTGGGATTAAAAGCATTGAACTACCATGTCTGGTTGGCTTATAAAATACTTGTGATGGCTAGTCTTAGTTGTCAACTTGACTACATCTGGAATTAATTAAAACCCAAGCTGAGTACACATGTGTATGTATGCATATATGAATGAGAGTGGCTTACGGGCTGTGGTCTAGCTAGTTCAAAAATGACTGTCTACCGACAGAAAGTCCAGCAATCCAGTAGTTGTTCAGTCCATGAGGCTAGATATCTCAGCTGGTCTTCAGTGTATGTTGGACTCCTGAAGAAGTAGTCTCTAATGCCAGTGAAGGAATGCCTCAGCAGCAGGATATATGAACTTGCCAGTAAGAATGAGGACAAGCAGACAAGAAGTAAGGACTTTCTTCTTCCATATCTTTTATGTAGGCTGCCACCAAGAGGTATGGCCCAGATTTAAGGTAGATCTTCCCACCTTAAAAGATCCAGATTTAGGGTTGGTCTTCCCACCTTAAATTAGTCAACCAAGAAAAGTCACTCACAAGTGTACTCAGCTTGGGTTTTAATTAATTCCAGATGTAGTCAAGTTGACAACTAAGACTAGCCATCACAAGTATTTTATAAGCCAACCAGACATGGTAGTTCAATGCTTTTAATCCCAGCCCCCAGTACTTGAGAGGCAGAAGCAGGCAGATACCTGTGAGTTCAAGGCTAGCCTGGTCTACAAGATACCTGTGAGTTCAAGGCCAGCCTGGTCTACATAGCAAGTTTCAGGCTAGCCAAGACTACATGATGATCTCCTATCTCAAAACAAACAAAAAACAAAAACCCCAAGAAATGGCCCTTTATACATTTGTGCATAGTAAAAGGCAAAAAAAAATCCCCTCTAACTCGGTACAGTATAATGTCTATTTGAATAATTAGAGTCTAAACTGATTGAAAAGTTTTCTGCATCCCTAAGATGTGGCCATGCACAGATGAATAATTGCTGTTTTCCTGATATGTAAATCAATAATGGCATAAGTAATTTTACTATTTTGAGAGTGTTTTACTATGTAGCCCTAGCTGTCCTTGAACTCATGTAGACCAGACTGTCCTCAGCTTCCCAGAGATCCATGTGTCTGCTGAATGCTGGGGTTAAAGGCACATGCCACCATGTCTGTCACCACTCCAGAGGCAGTGGGATCTGGGAGAGTGGAGCTGATAAATGAGATGAACTAAAGTCCCATGCACCAGCCAACTTTATTCAGGGCCTTGGACAGTTTATACTCAGAGGGTTAAGAATAGTCATGAGTAAAGTTCTCATGAGTTCAAGCTGTACACAATCACAAGGACAAGCACACACATGGAAAAAAATAAAACTAAAAACTCCCCAAAACGTGTTGTTTTTCGATAGCAGCATATAAAGGATAGTTCAAACATTTAATTGAATAATAGCAGCAAGCAATAATGAGTGATCTGAAGTAAACTCACTCCTATCTGCTATACTTGGGAGGAGCACAAAGACACTTTCCAAGAATAAGTCTGTTTTGAAGAAACTGAAGTCACAAGGCATCCTAGTTAGGGTTATATTGCTGTGAAGAGAGACACCATGACCACAGCAACTCTTACAAAGGAAAGCATTTAATGTGTCCGGCTTTAATTTGGTTGGTTCAGAGGTCTAGTCTATTGTCATCCTGGTGGGAAGCATGGTGATAGACAGGCAGATATGGTGCTGTAGAGTAGCTTAGAGTTCTTTATCTGGATCCACAGGCAACAGGAAGAGACAGTGAGACACTGGGCCTGGCTTGAGCATCCGAGACCTCAAAGCTCGCCCCTAGTGACACACTTCCCCCAACAAAGCCACACCTATTCCAACAAGAACACACCTCCTAATAGTGCCAGTCCCTATGAGCCTATGGGGCCATTTTCATTCAAACCACCACAACAAGACACTTGTCTTGTTTTCTTGGAGTGTTCTCACAAGCACTCAGAATTCTCCTTACATGACTTCATTCCTGAACCATGTTCTAACTTATGCCCAGCCAACATATATATACACACACATACATACATATATAAATTGTGTGTATATATATATATTATAGTATATAATATATATATTAGAATTAAGGAATTTTATAGAAGTATGGAACCATAGAAAATGAGTCAAATTAGTTATGTGTTAATGTTTCATTTCTTTATCCACGTTTTTCCAAAGCAAACAAAACTGAAGAACCCTCCAAGAGAGAGAAGCCAATAATAGAAAACTTAGCTGAGTTTTATGCCAACTCCTCCATCTACAGAGAATCAAAAGCTGAATTAGATCGACTTCCGAGGACTCAGAAAAAGAAAGGAATATCAGCCTTCAAAGAGTCCGCATATGTCACCTCCTTCTGTCATCAGCTCCGATGGATTGCCAAGCGCTCATTCAAAAACTTGCTGGGGAATCCTCAAGCTTCTATAGCTCAGGTAATCTGACAAATGCCAGTCGTGCTATGAAATATTCATGAGGACAAACATGGTTCCTGATTCTTTTTCTCCTGCAACTATTATATATGCTTCAGGATTTTATTTATTTTCTAGTTATCTTTCTATTTTTCTGTCATTTCCACTGTATCTTAATTAACGGATACTGAAGTTTCAATTTCAAATTGTAAACAACACTGTCTTCGTGGTTCTCTCCCCTGAGTAATGAAATTTGGTGAAAGTCATTCTTAGTTCATGAGTGTCCAAAAATAGACAGTTGGTGCAGTTTGTCATTTGTGCCACAGCTTACCTACCTTTGCATAGGATTTTTTTTTGTAATCTGTTTTTTAAATAAGATTAAATGCTTTAAATAAGTTTGAAAGCCAAGAGACAATGCAAAGTACATACTTCAGAATATTGAGTACTCCTAAAAGTTATACTTTGGAACGCTAGACTTAGTATGTATGTGCAAACTACATGTTGATAGAGCTGTCAGAATTTATTTTATGTTTGGCCTCCTTATACATGTAGAAGGGTTATAAAAATATGCCAGGGTAATAGGCTTTCCCCATCCTAAATTTCTATCTTAATAGCAAAGAGATTTGTAATTCTCTCCTATGGTATTTCCAAACCGTCTTCACAGTTCACAATTCTGTTTTTCTACTTTACCTTGCTTTTGCCAAAAATGACCTTCACAAACTACTTTATGTCAGACTGGAGAGATAGCTCAGCAGTTAAGAGTACACACACACTTCTCTTGCAGAGGACTAATATTCATACCCGGCACCTTCATCAGGGAAATCACAGCCACCTGGAACCCAAGCTCCAGTAGGAGCTGACACCTCTGGCCTTCTTGGGCACATGCTGTCATGGGCACTAGTGTGTGTGCGTGTGTGTGTGCACACACACACGCACACACACGTTTTAAACTAGAAGAGCTGGCCTTTTCATAAACACGAATGTTATGATGCAACTATATAGAATATTAAATGTATGCTTATAACTAGTTTTAGTTCTGTTCATGCTGTACTTTTTATTTTGATATTGTTAAAGTACTAAGAATACTTTGAGCTTTGAAATTCCAAGATATATAAATGAATATTTCGTTTTCTTTAGCCGAACGTTCCTTGCATTTTAAAATTTACCTGTGAATAATATATTAATAAATAGAATCTGCCAAATAAATAATATTGTTATATAACCTTTAACCCCTTGCTGCTTGAAGCATCCTTAAAGATGCTTTTCTCCAAAAGTGATGCTGATGCAGTCTCCTTGGGAGCAGTCTGCAAAGACTGATTAGGTGAAGGAGGGTGACTATGTGAGGATGCAGAGGAAGCAACTCGGGTGTGTTGTGTTGACAGGAGGCCTAGCTTGCTGAGGTTGATGGAGAAGAAGTGAGAGAGGAGACAGATAACAAAAGCCCTTGGATGCCCCACAGAAAGAAGGCTTTTTCTCTTTTTGGATTTTTGGGTTTTGGTTTGTTTTTGTTTTTGTTTTGTTTTCTGTCAGTGATGCTCTACATTCCCATGTAGGCACAGACTCTCCAGAGGTTGCAGAGGTGGAGCTCAGCTCACCCCTACTTCTTTAGCATGCAAAATTCCATTGTCAGAATTTGGAGGTGTGTGTGTTAATTTTTTTTTTAAATCTTTAACATTAAAAGAAAAGGCATCCTGTTTTCCCTTGACTCCCTTGTGTGAAGCGTTGTTCATTGGCACAAAAGTTTAGTTCATTTCAGTTCAGTACTCTTGGACAACTTGAACTTCGGTTTGCTCTCAAAACAACCTCTTCAGGCTCCCCTATGGACCATGCATGGATCCAGCGTCTGACCTGCGACTTCACTGACCGCTGGAGCAGTGGGAGGAATCGTAGGTGCAGTTCTGTTGACTTGTCAGTTCCCTGACAGCAAATGCTTTGATTTTCAGTTTACTCTAGAAAGCAGTCCAATAATATATTCTATCCCATACTTTCCCAGGGACCCTATCATAACCAAGTGTCTAAAGTGTTTATGAGATTGTGCTTTGTATATACATTTTAAAATAATAAATAATATACAGGCATTTTAATCTCTAATGGAAATACTTTTATTTTCATTTTTCTCTTGGAAAGGTAATTGTCACGATCGTACTGTCACTCGTTATTGGTGCCATTTACTTTGGTCTGACAAATGATAGAGCTGGAATCCAGAATAGGTAAGCAAACTTGGATTTTTCCCCCCATTCTGTAGGATAGAAATTAGCATGGACTAGTTCTAAGTAAAAGGAAATTAGAAAGTATATTTTATAAACGAGGCACAGTCGTCTACTCCAGAGGCAAAGCAGCCAAATTTGGATCTTGATTTTGATAAAATACTGTTACTTTCTTTAAGCTTATGAATATTGATTAAGGGCTTAAACTTAACACAAGTTCAGGGTAAATGTCACTGTTTATTTGTGGGAAGGAATGAACTGGTGAATTGAAAACTGCAAGAGTTGGCTCTTTCATACACACAGATGTGTATGTATTGATGTAACCATGCAAAAAATTAAATATATCCTTTTAACCAATTTTAAGTATGTGCAGTTCGGTGGCCTTAAGCACAATCACACTGCTGTGTCGGTTGACAATATCCAACTCCAAATAAGTATTTTCCTTAATGGTTCTACCTTATCCATTAAATTAAATCCATTAAAGTAATTACTCAGTGCCCACTTCCCCTCACTCCCTGGGAAGCACCATCCTACTTTGTGTCTTTAAATGTAACTACTCTTCAAGCTTGCTACATGTGGTGTCATGAGTGTCCTTTGAGGACTGCCTTATTTCCTTTAGTACAGTGTCGTAATGGTTCATCCATTTTGCAGCTTAATCGGAATTACTTTCCATTGTAAGGCTGATTTAGTCCAGATGTGTGTGTGTGTGTGTGTGTGTGTGTGTGTGTGTGTGTGTGTGTGTGTGTTTACTCTCTGTATATGTAGTTGGACTTTTCTTTCCTGCCAGCCAATTCCCAAATAACCACACAGAGACTCATTATTAGTTATAAATGATCAACCAATAGCTCAGGATTGTTACTAGCTAACTCTTACAACTTAAATTAACCCATATTTCTCATCTACACTCTGTCATGTGGCTTGGTGCCTTTTCACAGTATGGCAAGTTCATCTCCTGTTTCCTCTCCATCTCCTTGCCACTCTCGAGACTCCTCCCCTTCTTCTTCAAGCTGTCTTTTTGTCTTTAAGTCCTGCCTAATCTCTACCTGTACAGTTATTGGCCAGTCAGCTTCTTTATTAAACCAATCACAGTGATATGTGTTCACACAGTGTAAAGGAATATTCCACATCTTTTGCATCCCTGCATTCAGTTCTTTCAAAAACCTTACCAGTAGAATTACTAAATTGTGATGATTTTTTGAGGAAATGGCCAATTTGTCTTCCATAACAGCTGTACCATTATACATTCTTGGTTTTAGCACACAGGTGTTTCAGTTTTTCCACATCATGAGTGGTTATTTTTTACTAATAAAGATCAATTTGATAGTTAAGAAATACTTAATAGACAATAGTCCTTTGTCTATTTTTTTTTATTTGTTGTTGGGTTTTAAGAATCCTTTATTTTTCTGGGCAATTTTTTCCTTATCAGATAAATGTTTTACAAGTATTTTCTCTAATTCTGTAGGATATTTTCTCTGTGTATTGATAGTATCTGTTAATGTGTGCAGTCTTTTGATTTTGGTATTGTTTGTTTTTGTCTATTGCTTGTGAGACAACATCCCTATAGGTTTTGATTTATTTGACTTGAAAGTTGCATGTGTGGGATTCAGCTCATGTTAACTTTTTGCTACGATATTGTATAGATTCAGTCATAATTGTGTCCTTGAAATTTTTTTTTAAAGATTTGGTTGTGTTTGGGGTTTTTGACTGTATGTGTGTCTGTGCATCATAATTTGTACCTGGTGCCTGAGGATGCTAGAAGAAGGTGTCAGATTGCTTAAAACTGGAATTACAGATGTTTCTGAGCAGTCATGTGGGTGTTGGGAATCAAACTCAGGTCCTCTGGAAGAGTAGCAAGTGCTCATAATTACTGGGATATCTCTCCAGCACATTTTTGAAATTTTTGTTTTCATAATGACTTTTTTTGGGGGGGTGAGATGCGGGTCTTACCATGTTTCCCAGGCTGGCTTGATCTCCTCAACTAAAGTTATTGATCTTCTTGCCTCAGCCTCCCAAGTAACTTCTTCTAAAAGTACATGCTACTAAAGCCAGCTTTACACTGAGGTATTTTAATTGCTGGTCATGCTATAAGTATATATGCTCAGTAATAGAGTCATAATCCATGTCATGATTCACGTATTGAGAACCACTGCTTGCTATAGATATTGAACTCAGTGTTTGGCATCCATAACCTCAGGTCACCATCCAGAGGCCAGTATGGGTAGATGGTATTATTCCTATTTTACTATCAAGGACTGTTGAATTCATTTCATGTCTGGAAAAGGCTGATTCTTTTTTAAAGAACCCATCTAAAAGTCTATCATTGAGGTCAAATAAGTTTTCTTCTGTTTAGAGTCAGTATTACTCTAGTGAGCTATTTTCAGAGTCATATCATTGATTTTATCTTCCTTGAAGGTTGAGACAACAAGATTGTTTCTAAAATTACTAGCAATTGATGGTTTCTGTGGGTGCTGTTTCTTGAGTTAACACAGTATATACGTAAAAACTAAAGACTGTGGACTTTGTACATTGTGTAGTATTTGGGGAAGTAGTTGAGGCTAAAACAATGGCTCAGACGTTAAAGAGCACTTGTTCTTTTAGGACTGTGAGTTCAGTTCCCACTTTTAAGTAAATTTACAATTTTATGGTGGGCTGTATCCTAGTTTCATGGTTTTTTATTGCTTTGATAAAATACCCTGACCAAAAAGCAACTTAGACAAGAAAAGTTTATTTCAGTTCTAGGTTAAACTCCCATTATTTGGGGGAAGTCAAGGCAAGAACTTAAAGAATCACATCCACAGCCAAGAGCACAGCCAAATGTCAGAGGCCAGATCTGACCTGTTGAAGGGTTCTTGTGGGGAGGAGAGAGGAATGAGAAAGTATTAGATAGGAATATAGATGGAGACGATGACAACGACGACGACGAGATGACCAGAAAGACAGAGACACAGGATAGTTTTGGGAGGGTCCTGGGTCAATACCCAGTCGCCTCGAGTTTATTTCTAATGAGTTTATTATACACTAGCAAGGGGAGAGGCAAAAGACCTCCCCCTTTCAAGATCAAAGCACAATGTACAGACAAGTGTAGACCCTTCAAAACACCTGATAACCACACCTTTGGCCAAATCATCCTATTATGCAGCCCTGCTGGGTAAAGCAAGCTCAGACTTTCTGACCTTGAGTAAGGCCTTACTAGAGAGCTTCTGTGGACCCCCACAAATAAGAACACGGGCCCTCACCTGCTCAACTCAGCTAGCATTCTCTCTCTCTCTCTCTCTCTCTCTCTCTCTCTCTCTCTCTCTCTTTTTTGGTTTTTTGAGACAGGATTTCTCTATGTTGCTTTGCGCCTTTCCTGGAACTCACTCTGTAGCCCAGGCTGGCCTCAAACTCACAGAGATCCGCCTGCCTCTGCCTCCGAGTGCTGGGATTAAAGGCGTGTGCCACCACCACCCAGCATATTCTCTTTTCTTAAACATGCCACAGCTCATTCCATGAAATGGTGCTGCCCACATTCAGGGTGAGGTTTCCACTTCAGTTAACAGTCAGTACAACCCCCACCCCCACCCCAAGCATACTCAGAGGCCAACTGATGTAGCTAATTCCTCACTAAGACTCTTCCCTGGTGATTCTAGGTTGCATCAAGTTGACAGTAAACTAACCAGTACAGGCTGCACTGGTAGCCATCTTCTGCTGCATGCAGGGTGTAGCTGGACATGCCTGAAAGGATCTGTTTCCCAATACCAGCATAGTAGGAGGTCATTACTTCAACAGGAATTTTATGGGAACAACACAACTCAGTTCACAACAATCTTAAGACCAAGAATTTCAGTATTCGCTTTAACATGGAGTCACTGGAGTCAATAACCACCACTGTAGAGACACAGCCACAGGAGTGAGACCCAGTTGCAGAGAGCAGGTGTGTGTATGTGTGCATGTATGAGCATTGGTGCACTTCTGGGGATCAGTCCTGGGGATTGAACTTAGGTCGCCACCTATACCTACTGAGCCATCTCCCTAGATCCCCTCTTTCTGTTAACTAGAACAGTTTTATTTAAAAAGAAAGGAAGGAAGGAAGGAAGGAAGGAAGGAAGGAAGGAAGGAAGGAAGGAAGAAAGAAAGAAGAGAAAGAAAGAAAGAAAGAAAGAAAGAAAGAAAGAAAGAAAAAGAAAGAAAGGTGTTATGTTATATCATTTGTAGACTGCTAACCTAAGTACACAAGTTGACTGTGGTACTTCCATTCCCATTCTGTCCTGGCAGAGCTGGGGTACTCTTTTTCCTGACCACCAACCAGTGTTTCAGCAGTGTGTCAGCTGTTGAGCTTTTCGTAGTGGAGAAGAAACTCTTCATGTGAGTAGGCCACTGTTTCAGCTGTGTGTCAAACTGGTCAAATCCAAAATTGGGTCAAAATACCATCCTGATGTTATCAGTATCTTTTATTTATTTCTTTAAATTGGAAATATACATTGTATGCATATATTCATGTTATGCAATATGAATTTTTGAAAATGCATAGGGTTACAGTATTAAGAAAAGTCAGTCATGGGTAGGGTGGAAAATTAAGAGCATGAGGTGCCTGCTAGCCAGAGAAAGGAGATTTTCAAGTTTGGGTTGAGGTTTGGAAATCCCAGTGCTGTGAGAGAAAGCACCATCCGCGGGGCTGAAAGTTTCTTGTTTTGATTAATCACAGGCTGGTAACTCCAGCAAAGAAAGTTTGAGGGCCTTCAGAACAATTAGGTGGTTCAGCAGCTAGAAGTGGTAAGATCAAGATGGCGAAGGAAGAGCAAGTACCAGCCTTGGTGGGTGGAGCATGGAAAGAGCCAGAGACAGCTTCACGGCGGGGAGCTGGCTGGTGTTTCTCCCATGGTTTTCAAAGGTTGGAGAGATTTGCCCACCTTTATTTACCAACAAAGTGAATCAACAGAGAGCAAAGGAACAAGAACACGGGTGGAAGAGTTTGGAGTAACTAGAGAAAGATGTCAGGAAGAGGAGGGATTAGATTTGGTAGCTGGAAGGACTCTAAGGTTATAAGGTTCATACTCTGATGCCAGAGTTCACAACAGCCAGAGGAAGTGCTGTGTTGAGAGAGGGTCACAGTGTAAGAGCTTCCTGGAGCTGATAGCCCAGGAAGGGTGCCACCTAAGATGGCAGAAGGCATGGGGTCAGCCTGGAGCATGTGGGATGAGTGTCTTCTTAGAACTCTAGTGGTACAGCAGGTACCCCATCTTCTGTTCCACACCTCGAGACTAATCTGGAGTCTATGCTCTGTGATTTATAGACATGAGTATATCAGTGGATATTACAGAGTGTCTTCCTACTTCTTTGGAAAGCTGATATCTGATCTACTACCCATGAGGCTTTTGCCAAGTGTTATATTCACTTGTATATTATACTTCATGTTAGGTAAGTAACAGGCCAAATGAAAATGCCTTTAGTCTGGGGTGTGAAGTGAAGCTAATTTCTCTGTGTATATTTTTATTTACCTTTTTCTATGTGTCTATATAAAGAGACAGAAAAATTTAATAACTACACATACTCTGATGCATATTCTTGAATAAGAAAACCATGTTGAGTTTGTGGGGGTTATTTATTTACTAAAAAAATAAGTCACTGACAGATATAAACAGATTTATTTTTACATCATGCTCAGGATTTGACCTTAGGATTGCTGCATCAAAATTTCCATAATTTTCACTGATATATGAAATATATACTACATGCATACATACTAGTAATTCTGTTTTTACGAAGCACTATAGTGTGAGAACTACTGATAGAGCTTAAAACTTTCATTTTCTATATGAAGTTTATCATAAAGAATATGACATGGTATCTAGACCCTTAGATGCATGATCCACTTTTTGCCACTGTTTCAAAATTATCAGGTTGTATGACATATACATAGCCATATATGTATATATATATATATATATGTACATATATATGTATGTATGTATATGGGCCTCATAGTTTATAAAGTACTTTGAGAACTTAGTCCTATTTTTAATGTCTAGGGAGACATAGGTGATAGAAGAACCCTCCCTTCCTTTGTATTTTAAACCATCCTGAGGTCATGACATTGTGAACCAAGTTTCTTCACTGGCGCAGTTAGAGCAAACACTGAGAGATGTGGGGATGTCTGGGCAAATGCATGTTTTCTGTTGGTGAGCTTCCTGTGGTGGGGGAGGGCAGTAGTATTGGGGCCAGTGTTTCCTGTAGCTGTCCATTTAAGGAGCTCAGAATAATTCTTGTTACATGTATAGAAATACACCCGTTATCTGAAATAGTGCTCTTAAAATAAGCAGGGAAAAGGAAATTGTGTTGGTTGATGCAGTTACACAGAATAAAACAATGAAGTTGGTGACCCACAGTGGTTGGATAATGGGTGACCTTTTCTCATCTATTCTGATAAATCTCTACAGTGTATTTGCACCACACACACACCAAATACACAGGATACTGCACTGATTACTTCTTTTCTTTCCAAGGATTGAAGAAAGAGGTAGGGGCTTTTTTCATCATGATGTTCACCCTTATAATGGTCGCTTACACATCCAGTTCCATGGCACTGGCCATAGCTGCAGGTCAAAGCGTGGTATCCGTGGCAACACTTCTCATGACAATCTCTTTTGTATTTATGATGGTGAGTATAGACAGTGCTTCTCTGAGAAGACAATTCTTGCCTTGTTTTCTCTGAATATTTATCTGTTGCAGAAATCTGCTTTGGGGATTCTTTCCATTAGGACTGTGACACTTTGAGAAATCCAGATGCTCAAATAAAGTGACTATGAGGAAAAGTAATGGCTTTCCACCTAACCTCTATCAAGTCCCTTGTATTGCTACTTAATGTTGCTGTGACTTCGCTAACATTTCCTCACTGATAAGCTTTTGAAAGATGATTTTTAGCCGGGTGTAATGGTGTATGTCTGTAATCTGGCACTTAGGTGTACGGCTATGTGTTCAAGCCAAGCCTGAGGTACACAGTGAGACCCTGTCTCAAAATTGGTGACATTCAACCCACTGCATCTTGTGAGTTTATTGTTATTCAGTAAACTCTGGTATAATGGAAATGGGGGGGGGGGGGAAGTCACAGAAATGGAAAAAATACTTCTTGCTGATGTTAGACAACCTTGGTAAATAGAACATTGAAAACAGACATTGTCATTGACTCCTTGAAAAATGACAGCATATCCTTCATTCTGTCTACCAATTAGTAACCAGAAATGATTGGATTGAATTCCTGAAAAAGGGAAAGTGAAGCTCATGGGAAGTGGAACTGTGTACCAAGGAGTCTATCTTTGGTCCCTCTTATGTTTTGACTATTAAGTGTTTTAAAAATAGTTTAAAAAATGAAAAAAAGCCAGCATGGTAGTGTAGTGTAGTGTATGTTCATAATCTCAATCTCAGTCCCTGGGATATCTTAGAGGTAGAGGGATCAGGAAATTGAAGTTATCTTTAGCTACATAGTAAGTTTGAGGGCAGCCTGGACTGTCTGAGACCATGTCTTTAAGAAGAAAAAGCTAGAGACTTTCAAAGTCCACCTACCTTCAGTAGATACCTACTTATTTCACATTGCTAGTTTAATGATTCCTCACTCCTAATATTGCATGTCTCAATTTTGCTCTCAAGTGATGAAAGGACCAGCTCCCATGTCTTTCTCCTACATCATTAAATAGGAACAGCTAGCACACTGACACAGGGTCCTCTTCACTAGAGGAGGCTGTCTTTTAGTGAGCCGCCATTAGCTGAAGTCTTGCTAAGTGTTTATAAATAGGACTTTAAAGCCAGTCATCAATCTGTATTCACCCAGATGGTATGTCATACAATCGGTACTCGTTAGCACAGTTTTAAACATGCACACACAACCCAGCAGCACTGTCATTGTCGTCATATCCCAACACTCTTAGTATGGCAGAACACATTCCATGAGAACCTCATTTTGCCTATTTTTAATCTTGAATAGTCAATTCCTGGCATCTCCACTGTGGTTCTGCTCTGGGGGCAATCTTTTTTTTTTATTTATTTATTTTGATTCTTAAATTATGTGCATGTATGTGCATCTGTATGGAGTATATACACTAGTGCAGTGACCTCAAAGGCCGGAAGACAGTGCCAGATACTCTGGAGCTAGGGTAGTTGTGGTTGTGAGCCACCTGATATGGGTGCTGAGAACCAAACTCAGTCCTCTGCTGGAGCAGTAATTGCTCTTGACTACTGAGCCCTCTCTAGCCCCATAGGTAAGCTTATATGGAGGTATTACTTATGTTTTCTGCTGTACATCACCATATCATGCTCTTATCTGTTCTAATTTGGAGATTATTTTATACCTGCATTCTGAACCTAAAATTGTTTCTAAAGTCATAACTATAGAACATAAACTGTTGTCAATAACAAATCTTGTCTGGATGTACAGCAACATGCTTGTTCTGGATTATTCTAGTGTGTTCTGTATTTCCAGGATTATTGGGAGGAGCGCATATAGGTGGCATAATTAGAATCACAGAACAGACTGCATCCATATCCATATCAAAAGATTCAACTGAGGAAAAAAATGTATGCTTTTCTTGTGTATACATGTCACTATTTCCCCATGTCACTATTCCTTAAAGAACAGTATAATCCAATAATAATGTCAGCATATATTTATAATCCTAACATTTAGGAGGCAGAGCCAAGAGGATTGCTCTGAGTTTGAGGACAACCTTGTCTACATAGGAAATTCTAGACCAGCTGGGACTACATAGGGATACTGTTTCATCCATTCATTCATTTATTCATAAATAATAGAGTATACCAACTGTTTATTTAGCATGTGTGTTGTATTAGGCATTTTAATCACTCTGCAGATAATCTTCAAACATCTGTGATGTGTCTATTTTGAGTATAAAGGCTGGGCTGGAGAAATGGTTTAGCAGTTAAGAGCACTGGCTGCTCTTTCTGAAGATTTAGGTTTGATGTCCAGGACTCACCTAGTGGCTTATAGCTGTCACTAATTCCAATTCCAGTCCCAGGGGATCTGACACCTTCTCTGGCCTCCGTGGGTATCAGGCATGCATGCAGTGCACTTACATACAGACAAAACACTCACACACATAAAATAAAAATGAATAAATCTTTTTTAAAAAGCATACAAGCCATGTGTAGGTTATATTAAAGTACTGTGTCATCTTAAAAATAAGAGAATTGTGCATCTGCAGAATTTAGTTTACATGTTGGAAGTCTGGACCCAACCTATACCCATGAGAGAGAGACCAAGGGATGATTCTGTTTCTTAATCTTCCATTGCGGTTATACAGAAAGTTGAAGACATTCTAAACCATTGAGGATCATCAAATAACTTGAATATATAATACTAATTATAGGTGTATTATCCTCCCCTTAATGCCATAAATAACCACTGCAGAAGTACTCACATGTTAAACAAGACTATTAGGAGATATTATAACTGCAGTTTTCATACCGCCTTGGCCTTAGCAGTGATGTTTAGCAGATGCAGGTTATTTGTGTGGGGGAGGGGGATTGGTTGCTTTGTTTTTGTTTTTGAGATAATCATGCCAGATATCCCAGGCTGGCTTTGAACTTGTGATCCCTCTGTCTCAGCCTCCCTAGGTTTGATTACAGGCATGCACCATCACACTTGTCTGCATGCAAGGCCTCATAGGAGGTCTTACCTAAAGCTATGAAATCACTGGACTGGTTCTAACTTACAGGTTTTGCATCTTACAGATTTTTTCTGGTCTTTTGGTGAATCTCACAACCATTGAGCCTTGGTTGTCCTGGCTTCAGTACTTCAGCATTCCTCGATATGGCTACACAGTAAGTTATCCTTGCTTGTCATTGTGACTGTCTGGATTCCCAGGCTAGGAATGGTGGAATAAAGCCTAACCTTGTCATAGCCTTAGCCACAAGCGTGAACCTGCCCCATCCAATTTCCTTCCAGAAACAGTAGCTAATAATTTCCTATTAGTCTTTGTTATTGGAGGGTCAAAGAGTCATCTGGGGTTTTCCGTAGTTACCCCATTATTGGAGGGACATGAAGAGTGGGGAGAAATCACATAAAGGAGAAATGTTGACTAATTGGATGAAAATATTGTTTCTGTTCAGTAAGGAAGTAAATGAGAGGATAGGGGACTGTAGTACATAGTTTATATTGAAACTGAAATCTGAAGAGAAATAGACTGTAATAGTCAACAACCATATAGGCTCTAGCAACTAATCAAATACAAAGAAAACAGCTTTGTCTTAATTCAGTATAATGAAGTTTCTGATTTCCATAATTACTACTTTTTTATGAAAACCAAAAAGATTGTTACTACAAATCAACAATATTCATTGAGCATTATATCATTTTAATTATAGATTTTATAGGTTATAAAATTGGGATGATGGTGCTCGGGGGTAGTCATGAGTCTTCCCTCTTGGCCAATTGGAAGTTACATCCCAACCTTAAGTTTCTTGATTGCCTGTTTTGGTGTTTAAAAAAGAGAGAAGAAAGAAAGAAAGAAGGATTGTGCATATGCAGCTTGGCATACTTTCAGAAATAACAATAAAGATTAAATTTGAGCATATGATTGTGATAATTCCTTGGAAACATTTTGGAATTTAACACCATTGATATTGCTCAATCTTATGTGTATTCTAGGCTCTGCAGTATAATGAATTCTTGGGACAAGAGTTCTGTCCAGAACTCAATGCAAATGTCAGCGACACCTGTAATAACAGCTTTGCAATGTAAGTTTGTGTTCAGTGTTACACTATGTTTGTGTCTTACTGTGATGTGCTGTAAAACAGCTGCTTGGCTTAGAGGTAGGATGCGTCAAACTTTAAGCCTTAATTTTCCAGTCTGTAAAGGGAGCCCTTGTACACTACTTCATGTGACCATGTTGAACAGCTCCTATAACCTGTAACAGTCAAAGCCATATTTAATGTGGAAAAATGCTCCCTGTGTATTGATTGAGATGTTTTAAAAGTTCCCTGTTATTTTTTTGTTTAGGATTGAATTCTTAATTTTCAGAACTTTGGAGTTATAAATAGGCTGCTTTGATAGTTTAGGAGGGACATGTGGTCTCTCTCTGAACTGGAATGGATTATAACCCAGAGCCCAGAATGGAAGACAGTAGTAGGCACTCGGACAATGAAAACAAGAAAGGAGTCACTGATTACTCTGACCCTGATGTCACTTTCTGCCGCACTGCCTTTGGGAACATCATGGAACTCAAGGCTGCCAGTGTGTGTGTGTGTGTGTGTGTGTGTGTGTGTGTGTGTGTGTGTGTGTGCTCATTTAAACCAAATTGAAATTCTGCCTATAAGAGGATGCACTTTTTCAAGAATTAAAATAGAATTCAGGTTCTAATAAATTAGATGACCTTATTTTAAAATGTTAATACTTTTATGATAATTATTAATGGTCTGATTTTTTATATAAAGATTAATGAAAGAACAGAATGCTGGTCTCCCAAATCCCTCCTGAATGTTCAGTTGTAAAAATAGTTGCTAGTAAGTAATAGGATGATTTTCTATTTTGGGTTGTTGACAGACAACTTTGAAACAGGGGTTTCCCCTAGAGAGCTTTTCTTTGCCTGCCCATTGAATTTTGGTTTGATCTGGGTGTGGCATCTTTCTAACACAAAGTCCCTGCCAGCCTGCTGGCCAGGAGGGAGTGGACAGGAAAAGTGGTACCACAGAAGGAGGAGCCATGGCAGGCTTCGTGCTCACATAAGGCTCATCCTCATAAAAGGAAGGGGAAAACTGCTCTTAAAGCAAAGAGGAATGGCTATTTTGGAAGCTGCTGAACCCCACCATGCACAGGAAAAGCAGCCACAATAATCGTGGCTACATCGGGTGGATTCATGCTAGGGCCACTCCATTCTGCTCTGCTCCACTTGCTATCTAAGGCCTGTGTCCTTTAGCTGAGGGTCTGCAGGTGAAAGCTGGCAGACATGACTCGGGCTGAAAGTCGTTGCTCCCTCTTGCCAGATGGAGCTTTCTGACCTGCTTCCCTCACTTTGTGGCAGAGGAAACTGCAGGGAAAGGGCTTAACCCGGCATAGCTACAGCTGAGGTCTTCACCTTTAGTAATGAGTAAACGAAAAGGTGCTTGATAAGCGTTTCTGCCCTTTGTAGACAGCAGCTTCATAGATTTACAATTAATGAATCTGATGAGGCAAGAAACTTAGTTAATAGTAAGACTATGTTAACTTGGCCAAATTTGTTGAAGTACTTAATAGTTAAACTCTTTTGGATTGTTTTAAGGATTAACTTAATTAGGTGCAAGTTGCTTAGCCTAGAATCTAGTAAATTGTAAGCCTGGAGAAGGCTTTCCGTAGCATCTATTAATTGCCTATAGTTCTTCATGTGGGAGGGGGGCCTTGTAAGGTTTTCCCTATCCATGACAGTGTCAACTGGTGTTGTCATTATGCAAGTCTTGTTTAGGCAACCATATTGTTGAGATTTCAAGGGTTCAACTTTCTTGTCATATATTGATTTGGCTAACCAATGGGTTTCTGTAATAAAGAAATAGTAGATATATTGATTAATATTTGACAGATGCTAGGTATGAACTTAATCAATTTTGTATATTTAAATTTCAGATGTACTGGTGACGAGTACTTGAAAAGTCAGGGCATCGATCTATCACCGTGGGGACTGTGGAAGAATCATGTGGCTCTGGCTTGTATGATTATTATCTTCCTCACAATTGCCTACCTAAAATTGTTATTACTTAAAAAGTATTCTTAAATTCCCCTTTACCATACTGTTAAATGTATTCCTATTAAATGTGGACACTTTGATTGATGTATGCAGTATTCTTTTACACACACAAATATAACCTGCTGAGTCCATTTAGTGTTGCTCACATGTCTGTGGATTTAGGGTTGACCACCCATTGAGGGCTCATCCCTGGAGAAAGCTGATTGTCCATCTCTTAGCAGCCATTAATTGCCTGTAGTTCTTCATGTAGGAGTGAGGCCTAGGAAGATTTTCCCTATCCGTGACCATGTCAACTGGTGGTGTTGTTATGCCGGTCTTGTTTAGGCAACCCTATTGTTGAGATTTCAAGGGTTCAACTTCCCTGTTGTATATAGAAGGCACTATCTCATAGCAGACATCATGGTCCTCTGGCTCTTAAAATCTTCCTTCTTTCTCTTCCACAATGTTCCCCTTATCATTTGATGCAGGGGTTGTGTTGTAGGTGTATCAATTAGGGGTGTGTACTCCCCAGTCAGTTATTCTCTGCATTTCGACCAGTTGGGGCTTTATAGAATAGTCTCCTTCTGCAGCAAAATGATGCTTCTTTTATGAGGGGTGAGAGCAGCACTTTTCTTTGGGTATAAGGACAGATGTTTAGAATGAATCTGGAAACTACACTGGTTTAAGAATGTGGCAGTAGTGGATCCCCCTCTAGGGCCCATGACCTCACCAGCAACAGGTAGTTGCTAGGATCATAGTACCACTCGTGAATTGCCACCTATTAAGTGGGTCTTAAATCCTCCCTTGAGAAACTTTGAGATACTGTGAGAGACAGTTCTCAGGGAGGAGGCTTCCAGGTCTGCTCCAGCTGGGTACCCCCAAGTCCTGTGTCCACAGTGCACGGTGTCTTCAGCAGCAGGGTCTGACATCCAAATCTCAGAACATTTTTTTAAAAGTTACCTTTGTAAGTGTGTCAGTGTAACAAATATATTCAGTGACTAGTCATGGCCAATTACCGTTGGTCAATGGGATTAAAAACAAAGTACAAGTTTCCCAGTTACTGTGTTACGATGATAATAAATGTTGAATTCTTTTAGAATACAAAAATACTTGTTTCTGCTTCAGTACACAGAAAGCTGAAGTTATAACTCCATCATTAAAGAACTTACATAATTGAAACTAGAAAGAAGTTAGATTTATATCCACTTTAATTTGTCTTTTTGCCTATATTCCTCCCTTCCTTATCACCTGATATTACCCTCTCTTGGTTCCTTGAATATTTTGAACTTTAGCCATACTTAGACCTGTTTACATACATGAATACATTATAGGCTAGTCCATGTGTGAGGGAAAACATGCAGAGTTTCTCTTTCTGAGTTTCGATTGCCTTGCTTAATACTATTCTTTCTAGGTCCATCGATATTCTTGCTAATTTCATGATTTCATTTTCATAACTGCTGAATGTATCATATTGTATATAAGTAACAATGTCATTATGCATTCATTTGCTGATAGACATTTAGGCCAGTTCCATTACCTTGCCATTGTGAGTAGGACAACAACAAACATGGATGTGCAAATACCTCTGTAGCAGGCTATGGAGTTCTTTCGCTATATGCCCAGGAATGGTATAGTTGTGTCATATGGTAGTTCTATTTGTAATATTGTGAGGAACTTCCAAGCTGATTTGCATAATGGCTGGATTAATTTTCATTCCCACCAACAGTGAATAAGGGCTCCTCTTTCCCCACATCTCCTCCAACATTTATTGTCTGATCTATTGATTATAGCCATTCTGACTGTCAGTTTTGTTTCCCTGGTGTTAATTTTTGCAGTTCTTTGTAAATTCAAGCCATTAGCCCCTTGTTTGAAGCATAGCTGGTAAAGATTTTCTAGCAGTCTGTGGGATGTTTAGTGATGATAGTTTCTTTTGTTGTGCAGAAACTTTAAATTTCCTGCTACTAAATAAATAAATAAATAAACAACAAAATAAAAACATCAAAAGAATCAAAATGTTATACTAGAAAAAATATTCATTTAATTTTAAAGAAGAAACAGAAAAATAAGAGAGACATCAGTTATGAAAAACAAAAGTTAAGATTGCAGACATAAATGTAATTGTATCAAGGATAACTTTAAGGGTCAGTAGATGAAATAATCACAAAACAGATGTTGAGGGCCAGCAAGATGGCTCCATGGGAAAAGGAGCTTGCCACCAAGAGTGATGGCCTGAGTTCAACCCAGGCTCCCTCTGGAGAAAGGAGCCAGATTCCCAGCCACAAGGGAAGCCAGGCACCTCTGGACAACATAAAAGAAACCCCTAGTTCAGTGGAGTGTGGGAATGGCCTGTGACTGTACTTCGTTTGTATGGCAGACATCCTAGAGAAGGAATCCATTTGGCCATTCTCCCATAACTCAACCAGGTGCTGTCATGAGTAGAGTTAGGGGGACATAGGTAGATTAGGATAGCAAAAGTGGGCTGAAACGGCCCTTCTTGTACCCAGAAGACCTAGTTAGGAGAAACAGCTGGAAGGCATGAGGGTGAGTATCTAGACAGGGCCAATAGGGGGAAGGGGAGGACCCAGGGACCGTAAAATACAAGCCAGTGTCTGTTTAGAGGACTTTCAGCCTTAGGCTTTTCCCATCCCGGATGTATAAACATGTTACTTTTCTCTGTGACTTGGTCTCTTGGACTGCCTTTCCTGGTCATCAGTTCTTTGTGCCAGAGAATGAACTCACTAATCCCCTAGACAACTGCCTTCACTGCCTCCCCCACTCCATTACATTTCTTGAGGCATCATCTGGGATTTAAGAAGACAGCTACTCAACATTGTATGCCTGACTGAAAATCTTGGAGAAGGACTGGGAAGTGACTATGACCTATACAGTAGTACTCCAAGGGCATTTTCTGATCACGGGGACATTCCACCCATGACTAGCAGGGTGGGAACTCCAGTCATTCCACATCCCCACTGGGAGGAGGGGCAGTAGGATCTCAGGCTCTGACGGAGAAGGGTGATTTGATCTTTCCTGTCTGGAAAGTTTCTCCCTTGAGAACCAAAGTGGAAGCTTAGGCTGCCATTCCTAAACCAAGACAAAGGGCAAGGTGAACCCCAAGAAGAGACCCCAAGGAATCAGTCATCTTTCAGAGGGCACACTTTCAGTCAGTTCACTGGGAAGATCCCTGGGGAAAGCCATTCCTCTGCCCATAGTTCCTTACCTACGCCCAAGCCTTGAACTGTGAATAACTGAGTGTGAAATCAGGAGGTAGACTGGGGGAAGGGAAGACATCCTCAGCTTTGTTCCTAGAGCCATTCTAGCATTCAGGCAAACCCCAAAGGAGTCTTCCTGTATTGAGCAAGTCAAGTGATAGCAAACTTGCTCAGAGTTCAAGATGAGAAGTGTCATACACTCAACTGGAGGCAGCTATGAATGAGCTAGAGGAGAAAGCCTCTGAATACAACAGCTCCCTTGGGTGCTGGCATCCCTGGGGAGCTTCATCTGCTTATCTAGAACCTACATGGCTACTGGAAGCTTGTCCTCGGCCCTCCTTCCAGCTCTCAAGGGTAGAGTATGGTGATATTTTATTTGTATTAAAATGTTATTTGTAGGTTAATAAATAAAGTTGCCTGGGGGTCAGAGCTATTAGCAAGCCATAGGAAAGCAGGGCAGTGGTGGTGTACTCTTGTAATCTCAGCACTTGGTAGGCAGAGCTGGGTAAGTCTCTGTGTGTTCAGGGATACAGCCATTATTGGATACACATGCCTTTAATCTTAATACCAATCATGGAAAACCTGGAGGCCTATCAGACAGGCCGTGAGGCGGCAGTCATGTGGTTGGGTTTACAACCAATGAGAAGGCAGAACAGGAACTCTATATAAAGACTTTAACACAGGGGTAGCTCTGGTTCAGAGAGGTAGGACCACCGCAGGAGGAAGGGTAAGGTTTTAGCTCTTAGCTCTGACCTCTTGGCTTTCTTCTTTGCACTGGTTCTGTGTTTCTTATTTAATAAGAAGGTTGGTTACATCTACAGTAGAGGTATGAATGATTTACCTCAAAGAGTTGTTACCACATGTGAACTCTGAGGCGGGGATCTCCTTTAGCTGGATTGGGGTGGATGACAAATCCCCTTCACACACACTCCTTCTCCAGTTTAGGCTCTCCCTTGTCCCTGCTGTATGTGCAAGGCACTCTGCTGGAGACAACTTGCAGGAGACGCTGGCCTCTGAGGATATCTGGGATGATGGGGGGTGAGGGAATGCTGACTGTGGGGCTGTGGGTGGGACTCGAGGGTAGAAAGCTCTCCTAAACATGCAAGAGGTGCCGGGTTCCATCCCTGGCACTGAGTTTGGGCATCCCTGGGCCAGGTACCAGACAAGCTTCTGACAGTAAATAGTTAGGGTCAAAGAAGGATCACCCTGCTGGACCGAGGGCCTGGGAACGAGGGCTCCACTGTGTGTTAAGGCCTGCTCATTCGGCCCAGAATCTCCATGTCCATTGTTTTCTAGTTTTTCCTCCCTTCTGTCTGTTTTTCTTTCTTTTCCAGGGCACCCTGGGCATGCCCACCTTTATTTTCACTTTCTAGTTGCTGTGACATAAGCAGGCTTAGGTAAAATGCCATTCTATATCCTCTGTGCGTGAGTATAGATAGAGTACATGTGGTAATTATTCACTCTTGGTGCTTAACATGATCACTCGGAAATTTGAGGGAAAGGGTCAAAGGAACATTTCCTCCAGAGGCTTTTTCCAGTGCTGGAGATTAGATAAACCAAGATAAGATTAGGAATTCATTAAGGTCACAGGGTAGTAAGAGTCACATAAAACAGGTTTCTCCTTTTTTCATGGTCATTGATGAGAAAGGAGAGGATACAGGTACCCATGTCCATCTCAGTAAATCTCCAGAGGACACTCTGCAGAGGAAGACAGATTTAGATGTTCCAATATATTTTCTTCTATCTTACAGATGGGTAGTTGTCAGCAAAAGCTCCCCTAGACTATGTTCTTACCCACTGGGAATTTTATCAACAGGCCTAGAGAAAGGAACACCTGACCTAGATATAAACTGGAATTTAAAAAACAAAAAACAACAAAAAAGTGGCCTTTAG